TCATCCATCCATACATCCTTTAACTCATCCATCCATCCATCCATCCAGTAACTCAAAAATCCATCCATTAACTCATCCATCCATCCCTCCATAAACTAATCTATCCATCTATCCATCCATCCATCCAGCAACTCATCCATCATCCATCCATCCATCTGGTATTTTATCCATCCATCCATCCATCCATCCCTCCATCCATCCATCCATCCCTCCATCCCCTCTCTCCTTCAAGACTTCTGCTTTACTTTAAACCTTTTTACCTTCTTTTGTTTTTCCTTTTCTGTGTAACCTCCCGTTGGGTAACATCAGCTCTGAGAGGAAATGTGACAACGTCCTCTTGACCAATCAGAGGCTGGTCTGAGATTATGTCAACAGCTAAAATCACTAAAGACCTACAGAGCATTTTTATCCCACCGGTTCAGGTTTCATTCACATTTCAAAGCTTCTTTTTGTCCTTTTATGAGTGAAACAGTCCCTTAACCCTTTAAAGCCTGATCCAAGAATAAAACAAAACAGAAAATTACTTTTTTTTGGGGTTTGAATTCCTAATTTGGCCTTTCAACAAAATATGTAAAAAGAAAAATGAGAAATACATTTTAAATATTAATAATTTATTACTTTACGATGAGTCAAGATTATTTTTTGTGTAGTCTTCTGCCCCCTGTTATCAGGTGTATCTGATTGTGTACAATAGGATTTTGAACAAAGTTTTTACCATTAAATTAAGCAAAAGGTGTCAGACGCAAAACATTTCAGAAACCGTATGAATCAGATATGACACATTTGGCATTACAGGGTTAATTATGGATAATATTTGGTTCAGGAGGAACTTCTGGACCGGCTCTTTTAGCCTCTCGGTGTCTTTGCTTTGCTCTGGTTCAGTTTTCTGCCTGTGGCTCTTCGGCCCGCTCAGAAAACAAAGACATTTGCTAGTTTTCAACTCAACTCAACTCAACTTTATTTATAAAGCGCTTTCAGTCAGCCAAAGCTAAAATCAAAGCGCTGTACAGGCCATTTGAGCAGATCATAAAACACAATTATCACCACAACACAAGACAAACTCAAAGATTAAAAAAACAGTAAGCAAAAAAAATAAAAATAAGAAAAAACAAAACCATGTTTCCGTGTGTGAATCTGGGGTTTGGACAGACTCTAAAAAAGCTCTAAACTCTCACTGGGTTCTTCTGAAGAACTGACCTGACTCTAACTCTCTCCCCTCTCTTCCTCCAGAGGAGCTTCCTGGGCTTCCCCTCCTTCTCCATCGGAGGTCTGCTCCGGTCCAAGGAGCCTCACGTCTCTCTGAGCCTCCGGTAAACTCACTCAAACCCCCCTTTTCTTTTTCTTTTCTCTCTCTTTAGCCCCGAATCATAGCTGCGTTTTTTAATATTCAGCCTGGTGATCTTAGCCCTGACTCACCACCTGATCTCCTTCTTGGGTCGGGTCGTTTCCGTCCCTGTTTGAGGCTAGCTGCTCTATAATAGCCCCCATTTGTCAGGGAGGTGGATCTCAAGGGTGGTTTTATTAGAACAAAAAACGCACCCAAAAGGAGTGGATGACAAGACAAAGTTCAAAACAAAGCAGGCAAAACTATGAACAAAGTATCAAAGTAAAAGTAACAAGACTTTGGCAAAAGTACTTAAAGTAAACAAGACTATGGCAAAGTATCAAAGTAAACAAGACTATGGTAAAAACAAGGCTGTGACAAAGTGCAAAAATCATAATCTTACGTGGGGTGAACAAGACAAGGAACGAAAGCACAAACACACAAAAACCCCAAAACACACTGACACGGGACAAGGGGAGCTGAGGACTATTTAAACACATGAGGGAGGGGAACCCCAGGTGAACACAATAGGTAATCAAGACATGACAACACACCAGATATTCCCCCAGACGTGACACCATTCTGTCAAGATTGGTAATTCAAGGCAGGACTCAGATGCAGAGATCTTGGCAAAATGTTTTAATTAAGTCAAGGCGCCCTCTCACAGAGTGGAAACAAAGTGCAAAACAAAACTGTGAACAAAGCATGAAATCAAAATCACTCTTACGAGGCAAAAACAAGACTGTGTACAAAGTACAAAATATAATCACTCAAAAAGGCCAGGATGGAAAAAAAAAGCCAATACAAAATAACAGAGTCAGAGAAAACTTGGAGGGTCAGAAAACAAAATCCCTCTTTCGAGGTTTTCAAGGTTTGGTTCGAGGATCAGGTAAATGCTCAGTAGTTAAAAGACGAAAGACGAAAATCTACTGGGCCCAGACAAGAAGAGTCTCAGACTATTTAAACACAAGGGGAACCAATCAGGGAAGACAAGCAGACCAAAACAGAGACCTGAG